GATCTCATATGGTATTTTTCTTTCTCTTTCTGGCTTACTTCACTTAGAATGACATTCTCTAGGAGCATCCATGTTGCTGCAAATGGCATTATGTTGTCGGTTTTTATGGCTGAGTAGTGAAAGGAGACTCTTGATATGTCATGGCAGATGGTTTAGCAAATGTGATAACGTGGAAAATTAGAAAATATATTTAATGATCTGATGGATCTGGCTTAGGAGATTTCCAGGCAGAATGTTGAAAATGTCAACTGTTTTTTTTTTTTGTTTGTTTAGTTGTGTTTAAACTATGCGTCATAAGGTATGGGTAGACAAACTGTACTAAAGAAGGAATTATTCATTTTTCAAACGATTTAGAGGAAGTATGTAGAATGAGATCTGAAAATTAAATGATTTCTTATCCTTAATTTCTTAGAAAATACTTCAGTAAGATAGACAAAGATCAAATTCAAGGCCCTGTTAGAAACGCATGGATTCAAGGTGGAGATGAAGCCAAGGATGTGATTGTAAAATCTTTTGTTAAGAGTTCAGAAACAGATAAAAGGCCTTGTAAAGTTCTTAAGGAGTTGTAAACAATAAACAATTGTTTAAACAATTGTCAGACCTAAGGCTTCTAAGAATCTTAAGGACATTTTTCCAGAACAGCCTCACAGGGAGCCCAAGGAAGAAAAGGACTTATCTAAAAGGTATTTGTGCATGTGACATTTATCTAATGGAGTAAATTATAAATGATACACAAAAAATCTACCAAGTTTTAATAGTAATTATATTAGTTTTCACTGAAAAAAATGGACTGCACAAAATGAAAAGAATCTTTTGGACCCTTAAATATCTATGGGCAGGAAGCAGGCTGAGTATGCTACTAAGCTACAGAAATGGGATAGCTTTGTGGAGAAGGAAGAATGACTTCCAAGGCAAAATCAAGATCTCAGAGGGAAGAGCCAAAAATCATGGAAAAATCATTCTCAGAGAGCAGGATTGGGCCCTAATCATGAACTAGTAA